GCGCAGCAACTCCCGCGCCGCCGGCGCCAGCTCCTGCAAGTCACCGTCGCCCGTGCCACTCGGCCCCGCACACAGCCGCGGCAGCTCGGACGGCAGCCCCGCCGCCGTCACGAGATGACCCGCCGCCCAGGCCGTGGCCGCAGCGGGAGCCGCAGGGTTCTCGAGCGCTGCTGCGATGGCCACGAGGGCCTTCGCCGCAGCCGCTGCGGGGCGCCCTCCCGGCCTGGCGAGCTGGATCGCACGCTCCAGCAGCTCGCCAGCGGTGACGGCAGCGGCCCCGTCTGTCCCCGCGCCGTCCGCAGTGGCCTGCCGCGCCAGGCAGACGGCCGCCGTGGACATCAGCCTCGGAAGCTCGGTGGCCAGCCAGGGCGGTACAGTGCTGGCCTGCAGGTGCGTCAGGGCCGGCGCGAGCACTGCGGCGTGCGCAGGGTGCCCGCCCGCCACGTCGGCGACGGCGTCCACCAGAGCTGAGGCGCGCGCGTCGCCCTCGGGGGCGGCGAGGAGCTCGTGCCGCCAGCCTTCGGCCCAGGCCTTGAAGGTGGGCGACTCTTCGGCCAGTGGCGGCAACAGGGCCAGGCGGAGAGCATGGAAGGCCCGCCGCGACTCCTCCTCACCCCCGGCGAGGCGTGCCAGCAGGCCGGTGAGCCTGAGGGCCGTGGCCACGCTGCCGGTTGGAGCGGCCCCGCTGTCGTCTGAGCCGTGGCAGCCGCCGCCGCAGCAGCCGCCGTGCGCGTGGCCGTGCGCGTGCGCGTCTTCGGCGGCGGCCGCGCCGTGCGCGTGGCCGTGCCCGTAGGCGTCTTCGGCAGCGGCCGCGCTGGTGCAGTTGGCGCCGTCGGAGCCAGGGGGGAGGGCCAGAAGGGTAGCCAGAGCAGCGGCGAGCAGCTGCTTCACGTGCCGCGGCGCCAACAGCACCTTGCCGTTGGGACCCTGGGCCAGCCCCGCGAGGTCCAAGGCGAAGGCCAGAGACCCAAGAGGCAACAGCGCGCCATCGGTGACCTCCGTCGCGGGCGGCACCAGCAGCGGCACCACCGAGGACCAGACGCGGTCGAGCAGCGCGGGGTGTGCCGCAGCGGCCGCCAGCAGCAGCTGGCGCGACCCTGCCGAGGCCAGGGAGCTGCTGCCTTTCGCCGCGTCCGCGGCCCTGGCCTTCAGGTGAGGCTCCACCTCCTTCCCCAGCCAGGCCGGGTACAGGCCTGCCGGCGTGCCCTTCATGGCGGCCGCAAGCGCCCGCCGCGCCAAGGACGAGAACTCCCCCGCGTCTGGACTGAAGGTGCGGCACACCTGGCGGGCTCCAGAAGCTCTGCATCCCAAAAGGTTGACACCTCTGGCCGGCGATATGTTTGCCTCCGCCCGCGTCCGCCCGCGCTCCGCCGGCAGACCCGCCGCCGTTCCACTTCCGCCGCCTTCCGCGGGGGAAGAGATGCCAAGTCACTCGACGCCTCGAAGGTAAGGCCCCCTCTGGGACGCCCCGCCTGGTTCTCGGCGGTCTTCAGGACCTCCCCGACGTACTTCTGCGCCACGCTCGGCCCCCACATCTCCTGAGGAGGAACGATCGGGGGGGGTGACTGGTTCAAGGTGGGGGAACATGGACCTGTAATCGGCGATACATGACCGATAGATCGACGATAGACCCAATAGCGGATCCGCATATTCCTGGGCGTGGTGAGCCATCGTGCCTCTATCGGCGATGAATGGGCGATTGTGGGTCGATGCATCCCCCCCGAGCTTGCCCCCCCCCCCAAACATTGCCCCCCTGTTTGTCTCCCGCTCCCGGTCCGGCCCCCGCTCCCGCTCCTCCTCCTCCTCCGCTGGGGCCTCCTCCTCCTCCTCCTCCTCCTCCTCCTCCTCCTCCTCCTCCTCCTCCTCCTCCTCCTCCTCCCCCTCCTCTTGTCGGGTCATGACTAGGCTCTCTGGCGGCAGTTCGGGACATTCTCTGGGCACCCCCAGGACGCTCTCGGCGAGGCGCAATCTGCCGAAGAGCACCCCGAGGCGGGACGGCCGCCGAGAGCCAACGAAAGCGTCCGAAAACCTCGGCCTCTGAACCTCGAAACTTCGTCCCACCATAGCTGAGCACCGTGTAAGCTCGGCGGCGAGCGAGGGGGGGGAAGTGAGAAGGGGCGGGCCTTCTCAAAGGCCTCGGGAGTCGCCCGGCCTTCTGAAGACGTTTTCTAGGCCTTCCCCGAAGACAGAAACAACTTCTGAGAAGGCGCGAAGGCATCTGAGAAGTCCCGCCGCCTTCTGAGAAGGCCTCCTCCTTCTCATTTCCCCCCCTCGCTCGCCGCCGATAAGCGATCCCTATTTCCGCTGGAGCGGACGGGCCCCACTGGCGGATTTGTCCCCCCCCCCCGGGATGGGGATGCAGACTGTTCCCTTCGGGTTTCGCAGGGCCCATCCCCAACTGGGGTGGTGGTGACACAGCGGGGCTGAGCTCCCATGGCCCGGTGGGGATGGGCATATCGGCGGCGAGCGAAGGGGAAGAATGAGAAGAGGCGGGCCTTCTCAGAAGGCCTCGGGAGTCCCCTGGTCTTCAGAAGATTTTTCTGAGCCTTCCCCGAAGACACAAAAAGCCGCTCAGAAGGCCGGAGGGCTTCTGAGAATTCCCGCCCCGCCGCCTTCTGCGAAGGCCTTGTCCCTGGAAGTATACGTGGCTGGGTTCACACGTGGAGCATCTGAAGGCCACTTGCTGGATACACATGTGGAGGACTACCGCGCCTGGCAGCAGGAGGGCCGAGGGCCAGCAAGACACGTGGCCACGCGTGCATCCAGCGCTCGCCAGGGCCGGGCACGTCATGCGTACCCGGCTTCCTGGTACGGTCAGCGTGCTAATACACAGCCGTGCCACCAGTTTCTTCAATTTACCATGATGCTGATATCTGAGAGAACGCGTTTCACGGGCCCTTGCCTGGGGAACATTCGGCGGCGCGTTTCGAACCCAGGGGTGGCCCCCCCCCTCAACACTCGGCGCCGTCGATCAAAACCAAGGGGAGGGGATTCCCCTCCCCGCCAAACCACCCCCTCTTCCGAACCCCCCCCCCTCCCAAAGGGGGGGGCGGGGTCAAACCAACCCCCCCCCTTTCGGCGCCGGCGCTGGCGCTGGCGCCAGCAGCGCCCACGGCGGGGACGCAGCGACGATGACCAGAGGCAGCCCAGGGGGGGGGGGGGGAGGGTTTCAACCCCCCTCCCCCCTGGCGCCGGCGCCGGCGCTGGCGGCGGCCAGCAGCGACGCAGCGACACTTACCACCACTACCACCACTACACCACTACCACCACCACCACCGCCTCAACCCACCACCCACCACCACCACCACCACCACCACCACCACCACCACCACCACCACCACCACCACAACAACAACAACAACAACAACACACACCACCACCACCGCCACCACAGCCACCACCACCACCACAACCACCACCACAACTCACCATCACCACCAAAAACCACAAGAACCCACCACCACTACCACCACCACCACCACAATCTACCACACCACCACCTCCACCGCCACAACCACCACCACTACAGGCAGCACAACCCACATCCACCACCACAAACTACCACACCACCACCACCACCACCACAACAAACGTCCACAAACCACCGCCACCACTACAACCCACCACCACCACACCACCACACAACCACCACCACACCACCACCACACCACCACCACCACCACCACCACAACTCACCATCACCACCACCACCACAAAAACCCACCACCAACTACCACCACCACCACAATCTACCACAACACCACCACCACCGCCACAACCACCACCACTACCAGCAGCACAACCCACCACCACCACCACCACAAACCACCACACCACCACCACCACAACCGCCACCACCACCACCAGCACCACCACCACAAACCACCGCCACAACCACAATCCACCACAACAAACCACCACACCACCACCACAACCACCACCACCGCCACCACCACCACCACAACCCACCACCATCACCACCGTCGTCCTCGTCGACGCTCCCCGCCACCGCTGCCCGCCGCCGCAGGCGCCGGCGCCGTTCCAGAAATGGAAATCGTCGTCCCCGCTGCCGTCGCCGCCGCCGACGCAAGCGCCGGCCCGAGGAGAGGGGAAGCAGGGGAGGGGGGGGGTTCGACCCCCCCCCCGTCATGGGAGGGGGGGGGTCCGGTTTCAACCCCCCCCCCTCCAAGCGACCACAGAACGCGCTCTTTCTGATATCTCCTATCCCTCTAAAAAGGTTCTTGACATGACATGATGCCTGCGTCTTTCGGCGGAGGAGTTTCCGATCCACCTAATTATTATAGCTCTGCTTCCCCAAAACCATATTGGAAACTACTCCGCGCTAAATCATGGAGCGGGATGCGCCCACGCGCGGAGTAGTTGAAGTATTTCTACTCCGAACTACTCCGCGCTGATGTGCTATTGGCGAAGGCAGATTGACAGAAACTCTCATCACGGGGATGTCTATAGTCAACCCGCATAGTAAGGACGCACGATCAGGATGCAAGGGCCTTGGACAGCCATGTCGACACTTTGCGAGCGGGGCGCGACCAGCGAAAGCGGCCAAGGATGGGCCGAAGGGGAAGGATGCAAGGGAAGCCTTGGAAAGTCGCTCATCCTTGCTATGCGGGTTGACTGTAAGGAATGCAAAATGAGAGACGGAGAGGCTTTTCTGGCCACGTTGAGCCTCGGCCACGACTGGGTCCCACGACATGAGTGTGAGGAACGGCCCGAAAATCCGAGCCCCTCCTGAGCCCAAAGCGGTCCATATTCCAACGTCATGACTATACAAGGTGTATGAAGGATGTGTGGTAAGGGCGCAAGACCTCTGGAGGCCGAAGCTGGGATTCTTTGGGGCGGCGGGCGACCAGCGAAAACGGCAGAAGACGGGCGGCAGAGGCAAGGACACAAGGGTGCCCCAGAGGACGGCGCGCGTCCTCACTGCACGCGTTGACTTCCGAACCACCCCCGACGTCGTGATTTTTCCCAACGTCTGCCCCCAGAGGTCTGGAACCCTTCCCCAAGCCTGGTTTCTCGTCCCGAGCCGTTTTGTTGACGCTCACTGAGGCCGAATAAACCGCGAAGCAACTCCCGTCCTGACTTTTTCTCTAGGAAAAAAACGCTATAAGCATGAACTTTTGGCGCTCCGCGCGCATTTCTTGGATCTGCGCCGCACCCCCTCCCTGGCGCGCGCCAGGGGCGGCGCTGGAGGCGCTGCCGGGGGGGGGGCCCAGCGCGGATCCAAGAAATCCGTGCGGAGCGCCCACAAATTTATGCTATGTAGCTTTTTCTTCTTCGATTCTCGACGCGAGGGGGTCTGGCTTTGCCGCTGCCCCGGTTCTCCAGGCACGCCCCGGAGGAGGAGGAGGAGGAGGAAGAGGAGAAGGAGGAGGACGGGGAGGATTAGGAGGAGGAGGAGAAGGAGGACAAGGAGGAGGAGGAGGAGGAGGAGGAGGAGGAGGAGGACGGAGGAGGAGGAGGGAGGAGGAGGAGGAGGAGGAGGAGGAGGAGGGGGAGGAGGGGGACGAGGAGAAGGAGGAGGACGAGGAGGAGGAGGAAGAGGAGGAGGAGGGAGGGAGGAGGAGGAGGAGGAGGAGGAGGAGGAGGAGGGAGGAGGAGGTCGAAAAAACGTCACGAAACAGCTCCCGCCCTGACTCTTGTTCTCGACGCGAGCGGGGGTCTGGGCTTTGCCGCTGCCCCCGGCGCTCCAGGCACGCCCCCAGCGTGCTGCAGGCCTGCGCGGGCGCGTCCGCCGCCTCCCCGCCGTGGGCGTCCCGGGCGGCGTCCAGGAGGAAGGGAGCGGCGAGGCCGGCGAGGCGGGCCGAGCACCCCAGGGCGCGGCGCAGCCCCTCGCGGAGGTCGTCGCCGGTGATGCCCACCTCGCTCGAGGAGGAGGAGGAGGAGGAGGAGGAGGAGGAGGGTGAGGAGGAGGAGGAGGAGGAGGAGGAGGAAGAGGAGGAGGAGGAGAAGCAGGAGGAGGAGGAGGAGGAGGAGGGGGATGATGATGATGATGATGATGATGATGATGATGATGATGATGATGATGATGATGATGATGATGATGATGATGATGATGATGTGATGATGGTGATGGTGATGGTGATGATGATGATGATGATGATGATGATGATGATGATGATGATGATGATGATGATGATGATGACGATGATGATGATGATGATGATGATGATGGTGATGGTGATGGTGATGGTGAGGTGATATGATGATGATGAGGAGGGGAGGGGAGGAGGAGGGGGAGGGAGGAGGAGGAGGAGGAGGAGGGAGGAGGAGGAGGGAGGGGGAGGAGGAGGGGGAGGAGCAGGGGATTGACGGCACAATTGAGGTGCCCCTAGAATCCCACCAGCCCTCTGGGCGCAGGTGGTCCAGGGAGTCTCCTCTTCCAACCCCTTTCTTCCCCTTCGGGGAGGGGTTTGCCCCATCCCCCCCATACCCCCTCCCCTGGACCTGGACGGTGTGCTCCGCGAGGTGTCAGAGGGTGCTCCTTCGCTCAAGATGGCTCCAAGAGGGGGATCGACTGCAAAATGGATGCACCCCAGAATTGTGTTCTGTTCGTCGGAGCTGCACAACAAACAATAGCGTCTTCGTAGATCTACGACGATCCGGCGTAGTCATCGTGAGGTCGACGACTGTTTCAAGGTTGGGGCAAATCAATTCTGCAGTCGATCCCCTACTCGAACCCCTGGGAGAAGAGACAGCGGCACAGGCACTTTTTAAGACAAGGCCAAGACGATAATCCAAGCGGGTGAAGATAAATCGAGAATCTCTGATATCCGGCAGCTCTGGAAGATGTATCGGGCGCCGCGGCCTTCTCAGAGCGTTGCCGAACGCTCCGAGAGCGTTCCCGAACAATCTGGAACAGAGTTGTCCTCGTCCTGGCCCCGTCCAACTATCGACGGCGTGCATAAGGGGGCAGGGGGAGGGGGGAAGGCTTCTTAGAAGGAGGCTGCTTCTCAGAAGGCGATGGCCTTATCTATAGATGTCAGGCTCGCGCCTTCTAAGAAGCAGGGGTGCTTCGAAGAAGCCTTCCCCCTCCCCCTACCCCCCTCTGCGCGTGGCCGACAACAACGGCACACGCATTACTCGGCGCGGAGATCCCCAAATGTGCATCTCATATTCGTGGCACGTCTCGCTGTGAGTGTCTGGCTCCGGGCGTCAGGGTGCGAGGGTCTGATTGGCTACGGTCGGGAACTTTTGCTTCGCGTGTCGCGCAAGCTGCCCCGACGACGCGCTACGCCCTGCGAGTGGATAGCGTGTCGCTCCGCTCCGCTGGGCGGGAGGCTCGGAAAGGCTCGAGACGCTGATGTCGCTCCGAAGCGAGGTGGGCCAACAACGGCGGCGCGGCACGCTATACCAGAGTTCCTGACCGTAGACCTTACTCGACGCGGAGATCTCCACACGTGCATCTCGCGCTCCTGGCACGTCTCGCTGTGAGCGTCTGGCTCCAGGCGTCTGGGAGCGAGAGTCCGAGTGACTGCTATGCTCGTGTGGGAAGCTGAAGCCAGCGCTTCGCTCGAGCCATCCTCACAAGCTGCTCGGAAAACATAACAATCCGAGCCACCAACAAGGCAAACCGCTCGAGGCATCCACACGGTGTGGCCGCGAACGGTCGAGTGAGATACCACCTGGCGGCTCCACCTTGGGGGGCTGAAACCAACGCCTCCCTGGAGACATCCCTTCGACCTTCTTTGAAAGCAAACAGGTATGCGAAGGGGTGGATGGCAGAGAAGTCTGGGAGCCAGAACAAGCAAACCGCCCGAGACATCCCGACAACCTGGGAGCGAATAATGCAATGCAGCCATCTCTGGCGGCTCCTCCTTGAGTGCCCAGGAGCCACGCCTGCTTCTAGCTGTGAACACTGGACCATCGCATAAAAGCGAGACCTGGGAACAGCCCATACGCATTTCCCAACCGTCCTGTGGTGTTGGGCCTTCGCTTTGAAAAGACAGTCCCCGCATCTCCTCTCCCTCCTCCTGCTCTTCCTCCCCCTCCTCCCTTCTCCCGTCACCCCCCTCACTTCGGCACACCCCTCACACGTTTCGCGGCCCCATACGGAGCTCCACCGAAAGCCCCAGTGGCATGGTTCGCATGCCGCCCCCCCTCCACTGTGGCACACCCCTCGCACGCTTCGCGGCCCCATTGAGAGCTCCACCGAAGGCCCAAATGGCATGGTTCGCATGCCGTCCCCCTCCAGTGGGCACACCTTCATACGCTTCGTGGCCCCATAGGGCGCTCCACCGAAGGCCCCAGTGGCATGGTTCGCATGTCGCCCCTTTTCCACTGTGGCACACCCCTCGCACGCTTTGTGGCCCCATAGGGGGCTCCACCGAAGGCCCCAGTGGCATGGTTCGCATGCCGCCCCCCCTCCACTGTGGCACACCCTCACACGCTTCGTGGCCCCATATGGGGCGTCACCGAAGGCCCCAGTGGCATGGTTCGCATGCCGCCCCCCGTGCAATGTGGCACACCCCTCACATGTTTCGCGGCCCCACAGGGAGCTCCTCTGGAGGCCCCAGTGGCATGGTTCGTGCCGAGAGGCGGGAATGAACGAGGAGGAGGGAGGAGGGAGACGGCAGAGGCGTCACATTGATAACCATAACACTTCTCTTAGGATATGAAGAACAAGAATAACCCCATTTTCGGAGTAGTGTGAGTCTGAGTGTGAATAGTGTAAGTGAGTCTGGGTATTAGTGAGCTTGCGCATATGAGTGAGTTTGAATATGAGGGAGCCTGAGCGTGATGAGTGAGTCTGCGTATGAATGAGTCTGGGGGCGAGTGAGTCCGCGTATGAGTGAGTTTGAAAGAAGAAGAAACCGAATAATAATAATAATAATAGTAATAATAATAATCGAAGAATAATAAGAAGAATAATAAGAGGAGCAAGACGAGAGGGAGGTGCGTGAGAAGTCGGAGGCGTCTGAGTAATAATCATAACCCCATATTCGGTTTTTGGGAATAAACTTTCGGAGCTCCCTGCGGAGGTCTTCGATCGGCGCTGGGCCCTCTCCCTGGCGCGCGGAGCGTGACAGGGGCGGCGCCGGGAGGGGGGCCAGCGCCGATTCAAGAAATCCGCGCGGAGCTCCGAAACCCTGTGCCCATGCACGCTTTTTCTAATTCGAACCTTGTCGTCCTTCGCTGGCGTGAAGGTGATGGGGAAGTAGGAGCTCAGGGTTTCAAAGATCGCGGTGATCGTCTGCTCCGACGCGCAAGAGGCCTCGCACTCGAAGAGAGCGGGCACGATGGCAAAGGACAGCAACAAATTCCTGGGGTCGCGCTCCTCCTCGATCATCCCGCTGATCGCCTCGCCCAGCTTGGGGCCCAGGGCGACTGCCTCCCCGCGCCACTCCCTCAGCAGCAAGTACGCGAAGTCCAAGCACAGCTTGCGTCCAGCCTGCCCATGCGAGGGCGTATGCACATCCTTGAAGACCGCCGCGGCAATGCGCGTCACCATCGGCTCGTCGTCGTCGCTCTTCAGCGTCCGCAGCACAGGCCCGTGGTGCTGCATCAGCGCCAGCAGCCCCCCCAATGCACCCTCGACGCACTGCCAGTCGGTAATCTTGGAGCAGAAGAACGTCACCAGCACCGACACGTGCTTGAAGTTGAGGCGCAACTGCGCCTGCAGCAGGCAGTCCCTCAGCAGCACCACCGCATTGCGCCTCTCCGACGGGGCCGCCTGCGCGCTGAGCGCACTCTCGAGAGCGACGACCACATCCAAGAGCGCAATCTGCTGGGCGCTCAGGGCCTCCACGACACACTTCAGGGCCGCCTGCCTCTCCTCGTCTGTGTCATCGTCTGTTGTGCGCGGCAAGGCTGGGGGGTGCCCACGGACGGGCCCCCTTGGAGAGAATCGGGTTTTGCTGGGCTCAACAAATCCAAAACTCCGACGTCGTGCTTCTGACGCCCCCAGACGATGTTTGGACCACTTTGGAAGATCCCTCCTGCAGAGGGACAGGCCCGATCTCACGCAGCTCCCTCTGAGCATCGCTTCACCGATCCCGGTCCCCACTGGCGTGGCCTCGGCCCCGCTCTCCGATTGATAGCCCCTCTGGGCAGGGGATATGGGGCTGCTGCTTCGGGCTTCTTGAAGGGCACATCCCCAACTGGGGGTGCTGAGATCCTCGGGCTTGGGAAGGGGGGAGGGGGATGCCGTCGGGTCGCAGAGGTGAGGAACGCTGGATCAGGAATGAGGCTCCTCTTGGGCCCCAGGGGCGCCTGCGCGGAAGAGGAGCGCCAGAGAAGCAACCGCTGGAAGGAGAAAACACGCCATAAGCATAAACTTGTGGCACCCCGCGCGGATTTCTTGCAACTGCGCCAGATCCTCCGGGGCGGCGCCGGAGGCGCCGCCGGGGGGGCCCCAGCGCGGATCCAAGAAATCCGCGCGGAGCGCCAACAGTTTATGTTTATGGCGTTTCTTCTTCTTCTTCTTCTTCTTCTTCTTCGAGCCACGGAAGGACCCGAGGAACATCGAGCCCCTTCCAGACCCAAGCTGCTCCTTGTATTCCAGCGTCTCGGCTGCAGGGGTCGGTGCGGCGAGGTGCTGACCTTCGGGGGTCCGCGAGAGGCGAGCCCAGGGCAGCCTCAGCGCCCCCCCCCTGCCTTGGGGCGCGCGGCGCCCTACGGCAGGGGCCCGACCACAAGAACATCTTCCGCGAGAACCCCAACCCGGAAACCCCAGGACGTCCACTGGCTTTTGGTGTGGGGACGTCGCGCCCTCCGTCGCAAAACCGTCGAAGCCCAATAAACCCAGGGCAGGGCTGGACCTAAACGTTACTGTTCGTTTTACATCGTTGTGTTTTTCCGTTCTGCTCTGCTCGGTATCCGGTATCTCCCTGCCAGAACGACAGACACAACCCCAGCCGAAGTCCAGCAAAACAGCCTTCAGGTCCAGCCCTGACCAAGGGCACCCTGGAGGCAAGCAGGGTGTTTTTCTTGGCGTGGGCCACCACTTTCTGGGAGAGTTCCGCCGGAGGCGGCGTGTGCGCTTGGGGCCAGGGCCTCCCTGGGGACTAACCCCTTGGGGGGGCCCGGCTGGGGCTTGCCTCGGGAGGCTGCGCAGGTGCGCAGGTGCGGCTGGACCCAGTGCAGAGGAGCATCCTTCATCAATAACATGAGGCCCTCCGCTAGCAAAACTGAAGATCGGCGTCGAGCGAGGGGGGGAAGTGAGACGGAGAAGGCCTTCTCAGAAGGCTCGGAAGTCCCCGGGCCTTCTGAGAAGCTTTCTAAGCATTCCCCGAGGACACAGAACACTTCTCAGAAGGCGCGAGGGCTTCTGAGAAGTCCTGCCGCCTTCTGAGAAGGCTTTCTCCTTCTCACTTCCCCCTCGCTCGCCGCCGAGAAAAGCATTCAAGGGTACCCCCCCAGGATGCAAAATAACATCCAACGAACAAGAAGAACATCAGGGTACCCTCCCCGAGCCGACCTCGATCTTATGCCTCGGTCCGGCCTTAACCGGCCTCAGACTGCTCTCTATATCCCTGAGACAGGCAAACCCAAGGCAACGACAGTCCGAGGGCTGTGCCATCAGAAACCGAGGATCCCTAAGCTCGGCACCGAGGCAAGGCGATGCCAAGCACGGGGATACCGCCATTGGCGTGAAAAGCGCCCACCAGGCGTGAAGGTCAACGCTGATGTACTCAGGACCCCCGTGCCCCCCATTTCAATGTTGCGGGCGTTTTTTTATGCCGATGCTTGCACCCCGACAGTGGCCGCGAACGCAACATTGAAATGGGGGACCCGGGGCGGGCACTTTGCAGTGTCGTCTCCAGATGGGCGTTTCTCACGCCAACAGCGGCAGGGGGAATGCGCCCCCAGCTGGCAAGCAGGGCCCCCCAAACCTTGCCGCCTGCTTTGAACAAGCGGACGAACTTGTCCACGGCCGCGAGCGGGCCAGCCCCGGGCGAGCCCATGCGTGGCGCCGCGCAGCTGGAGCTCGGCGGCGCGCACCGGAGGAGAGCGGGGCGGCCTTCGGAGAGGCTGTGGGGCTGTCGATGGCCCTCAGAGCGCATGGCCGTGCCAGCGTGTGCTTCTCCACGGAGGCCCTTCACTACGACGCAGGCGGCGCAACAAGCACCGACGCCACCTGCGCGCCGTCGGCGGAGCCAGGAGGGGTGCACACACGCTTGGGTCAGCACACGTCCTGAGAATCACCGATCCCAGAGAGAACTCGGAAGCCTGTGAGAAACCGTCCCCGGGCGCCTCCGGGCTCTGCCGCGAAGCACTCGGCACGCTCGGAAGGCTCCCCTCCGACCCCCGACGTCGCGACTTCCCAGGACACACAAATAAATACACACAAATAAACAGATTCCCCATAGTTTCCCATATTTTTGGGGTTTCTGTCTTCCCCCCCACTTCCCATATTTTCCCATATTTTCTGGGGAATCGACGATGAATTGTGTCTGTGTTTTTTTCCCTCCTGATTCTCTCCGAAACGAGGACCCGTGGAGGTCCCGACCCCTTCCCCGGGACCGGCTCTCCGTCCCGCCTCGCTGCTCTCCCGCTCGGGGCCCGGAGAGAGAGTCCCCGAAGGCCGAGAGCCGAAGGGGCCTCCTGTCGTGCTCTCTCTCTCTCTCCGGGGGGGGGTCTCAAGAGAACCGCCCCCCCGGGCCTCGCCGAGGGGCAGGAGGCCACATGCGAGCCCTACCCCCACCTCCCACGATTTCTGAGAGGGAGGGAGGGGTTCACTTCGCTCGGGAGCTCCCTAACGAAGTGAACCCCGCCCTCCCCCTCAGAACTCGTGGGGGGTGGGGGGGTAGGGTTCGCACGTGGTCCCCTAGAGGGGTGCGCTCGCAGGCCAGAGTTGCGAGGCGGGTCTCGCCGTCGCGACGGCTCAAAAAAAAAAAACGCGCCCCTCGAAGCTCGAGCCTCGATGCTCGCGCTTCTCCAGCCATCCGCCGACGCGATGTATTGTTCGGTCCGCGGCCCCACATGTCCCGACCACTTCCCCGAGGGCAGCTCTTCGTCCCACCTCCGTTGTAGACGGCCCTTCGCCCGCAGATAGAGGCCTCCCAGACGAGGTCCGTGTAGATGGGGTCGGCGATCGCGCTGCATCGCCGATGCATCAGCGATGCATCGACGATGCATCGGCGGTGCATCGGCGACGTCGGCGGTGCATCGGCGACGCCGGCATGGAGAAAACCGGGCCCCGCACCGAGTTGCATCGCCAGTGCATCGGCGATGCGGCGCGATCCTCCGACCCCATCTGCTCGGACCCCCATCCCGGAGGGCTAGAGTATAGCGGCCCCCCGAAAGTTGAAATTGAGAAAAGATGCCCCGACTGGAAAAACATTTGGCGGCGAGCGAGGGGGGGAAAGTGAGACGGAAAAGGTCTTCTCAGAAGGCTCGCAAGTCCCGAGGCCTTCTGAGAAGTTTCTGAGCCTTCCGCGAAAACACAAACCTCTCAGCAGGCGCGAGGGCGTCTGAGAGGTCCGACCGCCTTCCGAGAAGGCCTCCTCCTTCTCTTTTCCCCCCCTCGCTCGCCGCCGGAACATATTATCGGATATCTGGGTACCCCTCTTGCGCGCCTGCCGAAGGGCACCGAAGCGGCCCCCGTCGCGACGCGCGCGCCCGCCCAGGAAAGCTTCTGATGCTGCTGAGCCGATTGTTCTACATAAAACCTTTGTAGCTGCTCTGGAGATCAAATCGAAAAACCGAACATGTGCTACAACTATTTGCAGAGTGCATACAGTTTTTCGGCCATAGCGATCTCAGACATCCCGATCCTCTAGACTAGAGCTTCCGATGCTTGGGCGCCTGCTCGGTTTTTCGACTTCATCTCGAGATTTGGAGAAGCTACACAAATTTTATGTGCTTTGAGGGCTTCAGCAGCGTCGTAAGCAGAAGTCTAGAGGCTCGAGAAGTCTGAGATCGGTCTGCTGCTCGAGCTGCGGCCGAAACACTATTCGCACTCTGCAACTCTTTGGGCACATGTTCGGATGTTCGACTCGATCTCGACATTCAGAGCAGCTGCAGATGTTTTCTGTAAACGAATCTGTTTAGCAGCGCCAGAAGCTCTCGTTCACATGGTCCAGCAGCCTGGTATCGGTTTGCTCCTCGAGCTATGCTCGAAAAACTACCCGCACTATGCACCTTTTGTTCCCCGCGGGCAGCCCAGGCCGCCGCGCAGGGTCCCCGAAGGCCTCCCCCCCGGAGGAGCACCCGCCCCCGAACCTGCGCAGCCGGGGGCGGCAGCAACACGGCACGCGGCCCGGGCCAAAACTGCTGAGGCCCTGCCTGCTGTCGCGACGGCTCGGAGAAGGCTCGGAGAAGGCCCGGATGAGGAGGGAGGGCGGACGGCAAGGGGACCAACACGTCGAACTCGCAGTCGACTCCGTGTTCGCCCGCGCCCCCCAAAAGAGACACAGGATTGGCCGTGGCTTCGTGGAGGCCCTGGGGGCACTGCCGTGGTTTGCCGATCGCGCCTGCGTTGCCAAATGCCAAAGGCCAGCGTTGAGCTCGGAAGGGGGGAGAGGGGTGCACGGAGTCAAGGGTTCAACGTTTGTCTCCTCTTACGGCTGCGGTGGCTTCTTGGTGCTCTGGCCAAATTATGGCGACGACGATATTATTGATTTCGTAACCGAACCATGTAGTCGACATATTGGTCGTGGGTCGTCCCATAGAATCTACCCGTTGAGCACATGCATGTGCCATTTTGTACATTGCATGAATCCAGATAGAGCCCACTCAAGCGTATCAATGTGTTGACATACCCTATTGATGTCTTTATGTGTTGAAGTTGCTGTTTTTATGTGTTGGAGGCTCTTTTGATATTTGAAAATGCATTGAAGACACTGCTGTGTTTCTACTAACTGAAATCCGCCGATCCTGTCGGCGTGTGTGGGGTGTCTGTCCGGTCCCGTCGACGGGGAGCCTTCGTTCGTCCCTTCCTTCCCATCCTCCTCTCCCGTCGGGAAAAACAAAAAGAGAGAACCCTTCCTCGTCCGGGGAACGGGTTCGCAGCTTGAGGGAATTGCATCCACGCCCTCA